CATTGATGGGGCTAAAGGATGAAAGACCAGTGGGAAAGCCAGCAACACAGTAAGACCCCAGCTGAAGTGCACACAATGGACAGACAGAAACAGTGGTACACAAAAGTTTGAAGCAACAGTAACAATATGAGTCAGTAGGTTTAAGTATAAATTAGGTCAACTAGCTTTGTCTTGGGGACAATGGCACATGTCTGGTTTTTTTTCACATGGGTAATTATTTTTTTTCCTGGACTTTTAAAAAAATTTTATTTCTCTTTTTGACGTTTTCCCTCTCACTGATGATTTAGGTTGCTAATCTTTCCCTCTGTATAGTGCCACCTTCTTTTCTTTTCCCTATTATTATTTTTGTCCTTTTTTAAACAGCTGGGAGAACTCCAACCACAGAAAACTAATCCCATACCCCAAATCCAGAGACAAAGATCAGACTCAAACTCAGCACAAATCTACCTGTAATCTTAGCTAGAGTACATATTCTTGGATCAGAGTGGGACCTACCACAGAACTGTAGATACTGGAAAATCTCATTACTTTTATTTTTCTCTCTCTGATAGGCTTTCTGCTTCATAGTCTGCTAACTTTATGTCCTTTGTTTTGCTGTTTATTTTGTTGTTGTTTCTGTTTTTCCCATTTTCTTTTCTTCTCTGTTCTATTTTGCCATTTTGTTTTTCTTTCTATATATTTGCTTTCTTCCATGTGTGTGATTATTTTTGTTTCCTGTTTTTTTCTTTTATCTTTTCAAACTTTCCCTTCTCACTCATGATTTAGATTGCTAATGTTTCCTGTCATATTATTCCACTTGGCCTTTTCCTCTCTCAGGAGCTATCTCACTTGATTTATGAGACTTTCATGCCCCTTCCCCTTTCTGGTTCACTTCAATACTCCTATAACTTCTCTTCCAATCTCTCCCTCTTATATCCAACAATTACCCAAATACTGGATGACCATCCTATCTCACCAAATCTGCTGCTACTATATTTAACCCCATCTACCTCTTTATCCTACTCCCTACCCTCTAAAAAAAAAAAAAAAAACCCAATGGGATAAAATCACTCCACTAAGTGCAACAACATTGTATACAAGTTCCTTCTCTTCACAGAAATAATGGCAGAATAGGGCCAGCCAGATAGTTCAGCAGATTAAAGCACTTGCTTAGGCAGATGCAGAGACCAGGGTTTGATCCCCAGTGTGCAGTGCTGGCCTTACCCCCAAGGTATGCTGAGATGGCAATTGAGAATGGCCATGGTGGTATGTGACTGTAATCCCAGAAACTGGGAGGCTGAAAACAGGAGGGTCATTTCAAGTCTGATCTGTGTAGTGTGGTCCTGTAGACCCTGTACTAAATATACTTAAAAGAAAAAAAGAAAGATTTGCAGAAACTTCCCAAACATGGATAAAGAATTTGACACACAAATAAATGAAGTACATAAAACTCCAAATAGCCATGACCAAGATAAATATACATCAAGACACACAATAATCAAGATTCCAGAAATTAAACACAAGAGCAAAATATTAAAAGCAGCTAGAAAAAAGAAACAAATCACTAATAAAGGAAAGCCCAGCAGAATCACAGCAGAGGGCTGGCCAAATAGCTCATCAGATTAAAGTACTTGCAAGCAGGGGCCAGGGGTTCAATCCCCAGGCCTGCTGAGCTGGCCTTGCCCTTGGGGCGCACTGAGATGGCAATCAAACTCGGCTTGGTGGCACATGCCTGTAATCCCAGCTCTTGGAAGGCTGTACTCAGGCGGATCACTACAAGTCCAATCTAGTAGTGACACCCTGAATACCATGTAGACCCTTCCCTAAAATACAAAAAAAAAAAAAAAAAAAAAAGAATCATAGCAGATTTCTCAACACAAACTCTCAAATCAAGAAGAATCTGGAATGAGATGTTTCAAACCCTAAAATAAACATTCAACCCAGAATAATGTACCCTGCAAAATTATCTTTCAAATTCAACAGAAGAATAAGATATTTTCATGACAAATAACTGAAGAAATTCATGAGTAGCCTCCCTAAAAGTTCTGAAGGATTAGAAAGATAATGAAAACCACAAACATAGGAACACAAATAGAAAGAAACTGTCTAGCAAGCAAGCAATTAAACAGAGGAGAAAGACAAGGAACCAAGAGCAGGGAAATAATAAAGATAAGCCAGTATATATCACTTATAATCATCAATGTAAATGGTCTCACCTTATGAACTGGATGAGAGGCAGAATGGATCAAGAAAAAAATATTCATCAATGCAGTCAAGAGACACATTTAACCCCAAAAGAAATTAATAGACTAAAAATCAAAAGATGGAAAACAATTCCCCATGCCACAAGAACCCAGAAAAAAGCAGAAGCTATTCTATTTGCACACAGTGTAAAGTTTAAGCCAAAACTTATCAAAAGAGACATGGAAGGTCACTACATACTTGTTAAGGGAAAACTCCAAGAAGAGATAACAATTCACCAAACACCAGTACATGCAACTACATAGAATAAATATTAACAGGCATGAATAACCAAATAAACTCTTAACAGAACCGTAGAAGGGAGGGGCCGGGGAGATGGCTCAGTAGAATAAGTGCTTGCCTGGCAAGTGCAAGGCCTGAGTTTAATCCCCGGTTCTGAAAAAAAAAAAAAAAAGAATTGTAGAGGGGTACTATAATACTCTACTTTCACAAATAGGGATAATAGATCAACTAGACAAAAATTCAACAAAGAATATCAGAATTACACCAAGCCTGTGAACATATACATTTCATAAGATGTCTACAGATGGTCCCCCCAAAAAACCACAATTCATATTCTTCTCCACTGCAGATGAGACACTGTCCAAAATAGATCAATACTAGCTCACAAGACATGTTTAAGTAAGTGTAGATGAACTGAAATCATTCTTTGCACATTATCTGACCATAGCACAATGGAACTGGAAATCAATGACAAAAGGAATCGCAAAAACTATACAAACACATAGTAATTAAACAACACACTTCTGAACAACCAATGAGTCACAAAAGAAATTAAACCCAAAATTACATAATACAGAAAATTGGACAATAATATTGAAACAGCATACTGAAACTTATGGGATATAAAAGCAGTTCTAAGAGGGAAATTTATAGAGATAAACTCTCATATCAGAAAAATAGTAAACTTCTAGAAAAAGTGGCACATGCCTATAATCCGAGCATTTAGAAGGCTGGAGCAGGAGGATCCTCACAAGCATGAGACCATCCTGGGCTACAAAGTGAGCTTAAGGCCAGTCTGAACTGAACAGTGAGAATTTGTTTCAAAAAGACAAAAAGAAAACTTCTACAAAAATAAGAACAAATCAAATATATAGCTTATATGAAGGAGAAAATGATAAAGAACAGAAATGAATTCAAT